GGGTGGGGGGGGCGGGGGGGAGCCGGGGGGCCGGGGCCGCTCTCCGGCGTGCCGAGTGCTGCAGCGCTCCTGGAGGGGTGGTGTCACGCCTCGTAACGTGGGGCAAGAGAACGTTTTGAGTGGAAGCACCTGGAAACAATTGTTTTTTAAAAACCTATGTCGCCCCTCCACATACACACCCCCCCCTCCTCCCCCTCCCCCCACTTCTTCTACAAACCAGAGCGTGTTTGCACGTGGCAAGGAGAGCTCATCCTGCAAGGGCCACGCGGGTCTGGCTCACTAAGGGACAGAGCACCTGCAGAGCAGATGCAGAGCTTGGCTCCTGCCTTAGGCTCATGTACAGCAGCAATACATTTAGAAGAAATAGAAATTAAAATGATAATACAGATAAGGTGACAGAGGCTGAGCCTACCTTAGCAAGATGACTAGAAGCAGAGCAGTCGTGCAGCGAGTCCCCTGATTGTTTCCATTTATTGCATGCTGGTACACTTCTCAAAGAGATTTTGGTGTTCATAACCTGGGTTCCTTTCACAGGAAAGGAAACCAAATCTGTTCAAATCCCTTCTCCCAAAGCCACATGAGGACCACAGGGCCCTCCTCCAACAGGTACTTAGGGGTTCAAGAGGCAGGGGTGCTGTGTGCTGAGACCTTCCCGCCCTGCTGTGGTTCACATGCAATATAGCTAGCTAGCTAGCCAGCCTTGGGCACACTTCTCTTTACCTACCCTTGCCTGCCAGCCTCCTGTATTGCAACAGTGATCTATCTATTTGCTGTTCCTCACACGCTTCTGGTTTGAAATCTCTTCTTTAAGACAGGCAAGACATGACACCAGTAGAGCAGCTTATTTCTCCTACTCCTTTTCAGGCCTGTTATTTCTCAAGTCTTTTCTGTTATGTTGATTAGTAGCTCTTCCACTTCCAGGAAGTTCAGAGCAGTGCAACCTGGGGCCAGGAGAAGTGGCACACCTTACGAGGCTAGAGAGTCTCTCTACTGGCAGGAGCATGAAGTCGCTCATGTGATGTCTGCCACCAAGTGTGAGAGGACAGGTGCACCACTGCATTGCGTCAAGGTTATGAAGATGAAGGCAGCATTCTTGAAGACCTGGAGTAATAACTGCAGTTGTGGGTGGCATGGCACATTACAGGGTGCCTGAAGAAGTCTTTGGATTGGGAGTTTGCCACTCAGGCAGCAACTCACTGTGACTGTAGGTCACTACACAGGAGAATTTGGAGGAGCACACGCGCTCCACTTTTGCATCTCTGACTCCACACAGGCACATCTAGGACACCTCTTCAGACCACTGTCCACCACCGCCAACCTCAGCATCCCCCCATGCTAGAGCTCCTACTTCCAACCCTACTAAGGCTAAGGCCTTTCCAAAATGGTCTCTATGGTGAAAGTGCAGAGGGCAGGTGTACAAATCTCCTGAAAAGACTGCTCAGAGCTGCACAAAAGCAATGTATTTTGGCAGTCTAACCAGAGGGGCCCCTGTACTTTAAAAGATACTCCTTTGAGCCCATGAGCTACGGGAGAAATCTGCACAGCAACTACCTGTGTCAAAACCCTAATGCCAGGCTCCAGTGCGGAAAACTTCAAGTACCTAGCTCAATCCCAGCAAATCTTGCATGAGGCAGGACCTGATGATATAGCCCTTTCCTTTCCTTAAAATTAGCTGTTATAAGATTATGAAGTAATCGTGACACCATATAAAATAACATTGCAGATCCAATCACTATCCCACAACCACAAGAACGATAATGCGAGGAGGCTGTCCTGGAGGGAGCGTTGCAGTTCTCAGGAGCAATGTGATATTTTGGATAAAGAGGAGGGAGACTAGGATAAAAAGACTTCTCAGTGGTGTTGACATCAGGTTTTGGCCCACCTGCAGACTGGCAGCAAGAGGCTGGAGTAGCAGCTGCTAAAGGGATCCAGAGCCATCAAACCTGCTCTGAGGCCCATGTTGGAAAGCAGCTGTAGGAACATTTGGAAGAAGCTCAGCTTGGTGCAACAGCAGGAGCTCAGCAGCATCTGACAGCCAGTACGCATCAGCCTAGACAAAGATGGCCAGGGAAGACAATCAGATTGACCATGCATATCCAAAAAAAGGGTGACGGAACAAATGAAGCAGAAAAGACTTAAGGAGATACAGGGGAACATGAAGAAACCTTTCTTATATGGTGAGGAAAAGGAACACCACATATTTCAGGAAGCTCATCTTTTTTAGTGCTCACACGTGGATATTTCATGGAAAGGCACATTATCCTTCCCCCTGCCATTCAATCCACTTGAAGAGATGCAGCATGTTTGCAGCCTTCAGAAAGAAAGGAAGTAACATAAGCACAATCCTTGCTGTCCCAAACACTTGCAGAGAGCTGCACATCACTTGCTACAGAAACTGGTCCCTGTTGTTCCAGTCTGTATGGAAAGGCCTTCCTGTATCCTCAGACAGGTCATGCAGGACAAAGCAGGCAACCATAATTCAAAGGGTACTAGGAGCGTCAGTATCAAGCCTGGTGCTCAGGGTTCATCCTCTGTCAATAGAGGACCAGACATAACTTCTACCTCCACCCTGCATATAGGAAGAGCATTGTCAATGTCAGAAGATGCAGCAACACAGGAGGTCTGCCACAGCTCTCTGATGGTGCAGACGGATACGTACCCAAACACGTCAAACAAACCTGTCCCTTCTTGTAAAGGAAGGGCCATTATCTTCAGAGATGCCAAGGTGAGACTTACAGGTGTCATGAGTCCTTTTGATAAAGCCTACTAAGATGTCCATAAATATCCCTTAACAGCCCAACAAAACATGCAAGACAAGGAGCAGCAGCCCTTTCTATATAGTGTCTGGCATACAGTGGCCGTGACTATCAACATCGATTGTGCGAGACAGGTTAAGGACAGCACAGTGCTTCTTTGGAGGACCTTCATTTGAAGCAAGAGATTATGTGATTCCTTCCCTTCAGAAAGCACTGAACAACATGTGTAGACTGCATCTGAAGCACCATCATCCTTGCACAAAACGTACCAGACATGAAGAAGCCTCAACACTGTCTACTCTGATCTACTGTTCCACTTCCATTTTGACAAGTTACTAGCTATGTCTAAATTACACCTATATTATTACTTGCTAATATAGGTGTAATTTAGACATAGCTAGAGACAGTCGCCTCCTCTGCTATGTTAAAAACTGCTAATGATTGTAACAAACAAACATCTAGCTCAAACTAACTTTGAGTTCAAGTTCCTCAATTTCTGATGACATTTTCACTTGAAATAATTCAAGCACAAAATTATCCAGCTTTTCAAAGTACACCAATTTAAACCATCACTTCTGCTACCACTTTGCCCTCAATCTGTTCTCACCTGTGACTGGAATCCACAGAGGAGAGAGAAGGTTAGCAAGGTCTAAGGGGCCAGTTTACAGGTGCACAGGGCATGGTCTTCTACCCACTCCTACATTATCAGGAAGCTCTATTTCATTAGAAAGGCTAAGAAATAGCTAGTTAGCTGAAAAACACGGGCACGTATATGTTGTTTAATTTGTTAGGTACATGTTCTAAGAAAAAGAACATAATATAAGCATATGCACAACAAAAACACTCGGACTGATTCTCAAGAATAAAGTCAGGCAGTCCTAAGGGGATCTCTTTCCAAGGCAAATAATGTTTAGACTTCAGACCTATTAGCTATTGAGTCACTTAGGAGAAACGATTCAAATAGCAAGGAGATCAAGGAAAACTGCCAGCCTAATGAATGGTAAGAATACAGTAAAAATTAATCTCCGACAAAGTAGGCTAAACAACTTCAAAAGCATCTTTAATGAAATTCGTGCTTTAAGAAGCTATTTTACAGAACTAAACTAGCATGTTCCCAACAATATGAATGCTTCACAAATGGTTCACAATTTTCACAGCAAATGACAGTGTTATTCATGTTTTGCTTTGTTGAGACACATTGCAAAACAGCAAACTGAACCTTAAAGTCTTCCTGCAAGAGATGAGGTCAACTTGCTCTAAGAACATACAGTATGCAAAGCACAATGGCACAGAAAAAAAGATATCGAGAAGTATTAGTCTGGTAATTTGCAGGAAAATAAGTTGAAGTATTTCAATTTCAAGACGCATTATACAGTTGTTCCCCCCCCTTCCC